CCCCCCCCCCCGAGTGTACTGTGCACTCCAAGCCTTGGCCGGCAGCTCCTCTGCACACCTGGGTGAGTGTGACCACAGCCATGAAGACCGGCGGAGGACAGGCACGGTGCTGGTAGAAGTACCACCGTCGGTGCATCTCACACGGGAGGATCTCGTACGCCACGTAGCGCACAAAGCGTTTGTAGAAGCCCAGCCCGGTCTCGTCCAGGAGGCCATCCTGAGGCAGGGCCCTTTGTCCGTTGGCGATGGCCCTCTTGAAGCTGCTGGAACGCTTGCTGCTTATCTGCAAGGAGAAACAGTGACCCCCCCCAACAGCAGGAAAATCTCCGCCGCGTTCTTCATCATGAACTGCCTCCTAGAGATCCATCCCATTCCCAACCCTGCCTTTGAACCAAAACTATCTCCCTGGCAGGATATGCAGAGGATAGGGGTCGGCAACCTTAAACATTCAAAGAGCCACATAGGTCCTAACTGGGAAGTCCGCCGTTCAATTCTGGAGCTGACCAGAAGTCCAGAATTGTCCCTCACCATAGTCTCCTCCTAGCGCAGTGTCCTTTTTCTTCTATCTGTTCTAACTGAAAGCCCCATCAATTGTGGAGCTGACTGGCAACAGGGAGCTGCAGCAGAAGGATGGAAGAGCCACACATGGCTCCAGAGCCGTGGGTTGCCGACCCGATAGAAGAGAACAACAGGCTGAGCTGGAAGGTGGGGTTAAACATGTCATCCGTTTGGAATCATTGCATTGCCACAAAGAAACCAAGCCCTGCCTCCTGTGAATTCCATTTTTATCTAACGCTGATTTAGCTTTGACTGTTAGTTGACCAGATTCTTGTTATTACGGATAGCAATAATAAACTCCTCTGTGTTTTGAACTCAAGAAATGCTCCTAGTTATTTGCGCCTGACAATATCCCAAAAGTGCTTTTTCAAAAGGCAACTGGACTTTCTTGTTTTTTTTTTCCTTGAAGACATTTTGCTTCTCACCCAAGTAGCTACTTTTGAAGAACTTCAGTTCTTCAGAACGGAAGAAGCTTCTTGGATAAGAAGTGAAACACCTTTTTGGCTGCCAGATATCCATAGTTTAAATTAACACCTTAACCACTACCCAAGTTATCTCTGCAACTGTCCATAAATAAAGCCCATTTTGCTTGAATGGTCAGGAAGAGAAGAAAGGAAAAGTCTGCTTTTTCAGATTTCAACCTGTCCCAGTTTTCTTTCAGTGTGACCTGTTTTCTGGAGCACATGAGCAACTCCTAACCAACTTGGATTGATGTTTCAGACATTTCATTACCCAACTAGGCAACAGCATCAGTGCCGGAAAGTCTCAGGGCTTGTGGGAGCTCTCCCGGGTCCTGAAATACCAGTTCTTGACCAATTGCAGAAAAGTGGAGACTACTTCTCCAGAATTGTCTGCACAAGTAGCAACTCCCAGCCAACCTTGACGGGTGTTTCAGACATTTCATTACCCAACTAGGCAACATCATCCGTGCTAGAAAGGGGTTTAGCCATGTTCTGATGATCCCTATTTAGGTAATGAAATGTCTGCAAGAAAGCAAACCACCTAAAGCAACATTTCTCAACCACAGCAGCTTTAAGATAAGAGGGGAATTCTGAGAGTTGAAGACCACGCTGAGGTTGAGAAATGTTGGTCTACAGAAGTGGAAAACGTAGGCCATCCATGCTCAGAGACTCTGACCCAGCCATCGTACAGTTGCTGGTACTCACGCCACTGACCAGATCTACCAGCTCCTGATAGCAGATCTGACCCTCATCATTGCTCTGCGCCAAGGCCACCAACATCTCCAGTTTCGCAGGGTCCAGAGGGAGTTCATGGCTGTGGACCAGGCTGGCAAAGGTCTCCACCCCAACGAAACCAGTGTTTTTGGGATCAAGCTGTCAAAGGAGAGGGGGGAAAAAAATCAGCAACGGGGCCATCAGGCCGTTTGCCGCAAAAGAATTCATTTGGATTGTGAATTATGATCCATCTCAGAATTGTCTTCTTCTGCACAAATGCCATGTTTGGGATCAAACAGAAAATTCAGCCTCTTGAGCAAAGTTTGAGGGCAGAACAGGGTTTCTATAAATCAGGGGTGGGATCAGAGCTGGTATTCAGCAGGTTCTGACCAGTTCTGGAGAACCGGTAGTGGAAATTTTGAGTAGTTTGGAGAACCGGCAAATCCCCTCTCTGATTGGCCCCACCCCCATCTCTTCTCTGCCTCCCATTGAGTCCCAGCTGATCGGCTGGGTCTTCTTTTGTTGCCCTGCATAGGAGAACAGAGCTGGAAAGCAGGTTAGTGGGGTGGGGAGGGAATGGGGATTGTGCAGTATCCTTCCCCTGCCACACCCACCAGGCCATGCCCACCAAGCCACACCATGCCCACCAAACTACGCCCACAAAACCGGTAGTAAATTTCTTTGAATCCCACCACTGTGTAGAATATATTTTGAACCCGAGGTAATCCTCAATTTACAATCATTCATTTAGGGACCATTTTAAAGTTACAATAGCAAAAAAGAAAGAAACAGGGGGAGGACACTTACAACCAATCCTTGCATTTATGACCGTCCGAGCATCTCCATGATCATGTGATCAAAATTTGGACAATTTGCAACTGGCATGTCTTTAAGGATAGTTGCCGCATCCCGGGCTCACATCATCCCTGTTTCTGACCCTCCCAGCTGGCTTCTGACAACCACATGATCCACATAACAGCGCCAAGGATTTGCTTAACAACCGTAACAAAAAATGTTGTAAAATGGAATGCAACTCATGTCATAACCACCTTGCTTACCAATGGAAGTTCTGGCCCCCAGTTTTGGTTGCCAATTGAGGACTACCTGTAAGGGAGCTGCACGGATGAGTTCATGAAGTTACTATGAATTGAGTGCAACTCTAGATTAGATTAGATTAGAACAGAATAAGAAATCAGAATTGAATAGAAAATAGAATAGAAAATAGAATGGAATGGAATAGAATTAAGAATGGAATGGAATGGAATGGAATGGAATGGAATGGAATGGAATGGAATGGAATAGAATAGAATAGAATAGAATAGAATAGGGCAATGAAATGGAATGGAATGGAATGGAATGGAATGGAATAGAATAGAATAGAATAGGGGAATAAAATAGGGCAATGAAATGGAATAGAATAAAATAGAATAGAATAGAATAGAATAGAATAGAATAGAATAGAATAGAA